TGGCCCCGCCCCTTAAAGGGGGGTCGTTCTGGGCAGCATAAAGACCGCGCCCGGAAGCCCCCCTTCTCTGCTTTCATCCCTTCAGGCCTTTGTCGCGGTGAGCTAGGATGGGGTCGGCTAACTCCTGAGTCTTTCTGCCTGGGGCATCCCAACTAACCATTCATTCATTCAACGAGCACTTTCCTTTGGCCAGTTTCCCTGCATTCAAGTAACACACATCATATGATAGATGCGCCTAGACCCCTGGATGAGGGCTTGACCAGAAGAAATAAACTCATCTTTGTTGATAGGGCTTTGAGAGACACGTAGGAATTTGTCATGTGTGGGTGGTAGGGTCAGGGCATGGCAGGCAGAAGTTACTTACAGCCAGGTCTCCACCCATGTCCCTTCCCCTGGCCTCCTTGGTGGGGACAAACCTTGAAGCTTAGAGGTAGGAAAGTACGTGTGTGTTGGGGACACATTCAGAACACTCTGCTCTGCAGCAGGACAGCAACTTATTCTGTACCTACTGTGTGCCAGGCATTAGTCTGTGTACAACAGAATGAAACACTGGTCCTGCAGCATCCTTACAATTGTTGCTGTGTTTCAGCCCATTGTTGCAGCCACCGTGTCAATGCATCTCATTGAAGGTCTTCCTCTTTTCCATTGACCCTCTACTTTACCGTGATGTCCTTCTTCAGGGACTGGTCCGTCCTGATAACAAGTCCAAAGTACATGAGACAAAGTCTTGCCATCTTTGCTTCTAAGGAGCATTTCTGGCTGTACTTCTTCCTAGGACAGATTTGTTCGTTCTTCAGTATAATTCATCAGTGCCATAATTTAAAGGCATCGATTCTTCTCCAGCCTTCCTTATTCATTGTCCAGCTTTTACATGCATATGAGGCGATTGAAAATACCATGGCTTGGTGTAGGTGCACCTTAGTCCTCAATGTGACATCTTTGCCCTTCAGCACTTTAAAGAGGGTTTTTGCAGCAGATTTGCCCGATGCACTATGTCATTTGATTTCTTGACTGCCACTTGCATGGGCGTTGATTATGGATCCAAGTAAAATGAAATCCTTCATTTATCATATGTTACTTATTGGCCCAGTTGTGAGGATTTTTGTTTTATTTATGTTGAAGTGTAATCCATACTGCAGGCTGTAGCCCTGGATCTTCGTCAGTAAGTGCTTCAAGTCATCTTCACTTTGAGCAAGCAAGGTTGTATCATCTGCGTATCGCAGGTTGTTAATGAGTCTTCCTCCTATTTTGATGCCATGCTCTTCTTCATATAGTCCAGCTTCTCAGATCATTTGCTCAGCATAGAGATTGAATGAGTATGGTGAAAGGATATAGCCCTCTTCCACAGCTTTGTGTGCAAACTTATGAGATAGGTCCTGTTATTATGACCATTTTAGAGGCGAGGAAACCAAGGCCGGGAGTGATGAAGTGATCAGGCCTGTAAGTGGTAGAGCCAAGATTTGAACTCAGGTCTTCCTCACTCCAGATCCAGCCTGTGGTAAGGACTGACTGTCTGACTCACAGGAGCACCACTCCCCTCCCCAATCTCATTGAACCCTTTTCTCCATGTCCACTACTCAAAAAACCACGTTGCCTCAAACTTTTGGACAGTTATCATGCTCAGGAAGGGCTAGGCTGTCTTTCTTGAGAGTGAGCTCCCTGGCTCTGGAGGTATCCGAAGCAAAACAGGGAAGAGATGGGAAATGTCTGGAAAGCAAGATCAGCCTCCACCTGCTCCGCTTATCTGGGTTGTTCAGCCCAACTTCCTCCTGTCCAATGTTTAATGGCCTCTGGACACGGGGGCCTGCCCAGCGTTCTCCAAGTCCACTTCCTCTCTCTGGCCCTGCATCCTTCCTCTATCCTTTCCCTCCTCCTTTGGCTCCTTTCCCTGTTCCAAGCAGCCTGTGATGTTCTGTTACTGCTCTGAGCAATAATGACAGGTATGTCTGTGTCAAGGTCTGTCTCCCTGACTGGGCTGGGAGCTCATTGGGGGCAGACCACTGAGCTGAGGCCTCTCTGGGGCTCTGGTCTTATGCAGGACAAGGCTGGCCATTTGGGAAGGGCACAATAAAAACATATGGAATGGAAGTCAAAAGCCCATTTGTCCACCATTCATTCATTCATTTATGATTCCTTCTTATGTTTTTTGATTGGGTGTCTTAGTTCCCTAGGACTGCTGTCACAGAAAAGCCATAAGTGGGGGCCTTTTATGAGCAGAAATTTATTCTCTCACAGTTCAGGAAGCTAGAAGTCTGAGTTCAGGGAGCCGGCCCTAGGGGAAGGCTCTCTCTTGTGGGCTCTGAGGTAGCATCTCTTTCAGGCTCTGTAGCTCGTTGTTGTTGTTATTTGCCGTCGAGTCGGCCCCGACTCATAGCGACCCCTCCTTGGGTTTCCGAGGCAGTATCACTATGGAAGTAGGATTGCCCAACCTTCCTTCCGAGGAGTGGCTGGTGGGTTTGAACCGCCAGCCTTCTGGTTAGCAGTCAAGTGCCTTAGGCACTATGCTACCAGAGCTCCTTCTGTAGCTCAGGTGTTCCTTAATTCCTTGGTGAAATCCACGTGTCCCATTCCTTCACGTCCATCCTTGTTTCCTTCTCTGTTCTAATCTCCTCTTTGCATATCTCAAAAGTGAGTAGGTCTAAGACACACCCTATACTGATAAGGTGTTATTAACATAGCAAAGGAAACCATATTCCCAAATGGGATCACATCACAGGGGTTAGGATTCTGACACATGTTTTGGGGAGATGCAGTTCAATCCATAGCATTGAGGCAGGATTCGAACCCTGTCCAATGTTTAATGGCCTCTGGAATCCATGCTCTTCTTTCTGCCTAAGGCTGTGAGTTTTGGTATTAATTCTAGTTGGACATAAAGGGGCCTGAGTCACCAAGATGTGTCCCCACCATCAGAAATATGTCTAAGCATGGCAGGTATGGCACATGCCCTGGGCACCCCTTGAAGGGGGGCACCACCAAGCAGTTTCTACTAACCTGGTGTGGCCCAACGTACTTCCTCAATCACGGTAGACACAGCCGTGTAGTGTGGGGTGTAGGGGGGCACTTGGCACCTGGGCACAAGTCCACGGAGGCACCAGAGGAGGCACAGGATGACATTTCCAGGTACCACAAATGTGAAAGACGCCTGTTAGAGGGACTCAGACAAGAGGAGAGGAGGTGTTTCTGCTGATACTGCCATTACTCCTATCAACATCTATTCATTTTGAAATTGGGGAGGGCTGCAATTTAGAGATTGCCCCAGGGTGCTGGTTACCCTTGCTACACCCTTTAAAAAAAAAAACACCAAACTCACTGCCATGGCTTCATTTCCAATTCACAGGACCCCCATTGGGTTTCGGAGACTATAAATCTTTGCGGAAGTACATCGTCCAGTCTTCCTTCCATGGAGCAGCTGGTGGGTTTGAACCGCTGACCTTCCGGTTAGCAGTCAAGTCCCTTTTCCACTGCACCACCAGAGCTCCTATGCTATACCCCCAAGGAGCACAATTTTGGTGCTTGCCATAGCACTAGTTTCCATAGCTCCGCCTCTGTCCACCAGGGGTCGGACTTGGGGCCTTGGAGGGGGATGTGCTGAGCGCTCAGGAGCTCTGGTGTCTTCCTGGCTCAGAGCATCCCTCAGCTGGGGGTCCTCATGGGGGAAGAGAGTGTGTTGGGGAAAATCTTCCGAGAGATGGAGAAGCAAACAGGGATGATTTCCAAAGTGACGGGCATCAAACGCAGGTCTCTGCCCAGCTGCCTTCGTTCACCCCGAGGTCTACGCTGTTTCCAGGTTGTCCATCCCCAGAGAGGTCAGGCACTGGCATTGGCTGAGAAAACGGAGCCCTGGGCCCTTAGGGATGCCAAACTCTCTCTCCTTCCCTGGTGGATTCCTTTTCTGTGGCCACTATAACAAACGACACACACTGGGGAGCTTAAGCCATCCCTGGGTGGCACTCAACCACCAGCTGAAAGATTAAGTACAAACCCACCCTAGAGCCACCTCAGAAGGTGATCTGCTTCCAAAAGCTCACAGCTTTGGGAGTCCTATTCTGCACACATGGGGTCCTCATTGATTTTTGATTGAGTTGCAATCAAATCAACAGACACTAGT